AATTTTTAGGATGTTACACATAAAACAAAAACATTACCCATTAGGTCTTAACACTTTAAGATAAACCATACCTCTTAATATTATTTCAATGTGATTCTTCAAAAGCATTTCTCGTAGAATAAAATAAGCGAGAGACCATATCTCCATTATCTAGCCATTCTTACATTTGTTTTTATAAATAAATGGACAAGATTTTTATAAAAACAAAAGTTCAAGTCTTTAAAAATATAAATCCTTATCTTTTTTAGCTAAAAGGAAAAAGTATTTCTAGTCCAAAAAATGTACATGACTTTGATATATTTTGATACTTAACATTTAAAATTAATATTTTCATGACATAAATAATTTTCAATAGTTATATTTATTTATCAAGAATCAAACACTTATAAATAATATAGTTGCATCAAGGTGTTGTTAATGTGAGCATTTAGAATCATATATCATTTAGAAATATCATTCTATAACGACTCCGATGTATAAATATCTTTCATTTTCTTCACCTAATGTAATGTAGTTGATATTGTTGTTGAATAAAGTTTGTATTGGTATTAAGTATAGTTGGTATTGTATTACAATAGTTACTAATATCAAAAGTACAATGTTATAACACATGATTCCATTGCCCAGACAAGCCAAGTATGAGAACACCTCATTAATGATTGTCTCACGTAGGATGACACGTCTGCAAAACCTAAAGACTAAATGTGTACAAAAACAACTAGGACTTATTTTGCAAAAAAAAAAAAAAAAAAAAAAAAAAAAAAAAAAAAAAAACAATAAGGACTAAATGTGTACAAATTAAGAACTTAACCTATAATAATCGGTCATAAGGAATGAATCTGTACAAAGACAATAATTTCAATGGCTATGTTACACACAAAAAAAGTGACTAAACGTGTAAAAATAAAGATTATATTACCCTTTTAGGTTATTTTCAATTAATTTAAATTTACAATTACACATTCGTTGTCGCCGGTTGACACAAATAACGTATCTACTTAGTTTCTAAAAAACTAACCGTTCACAAATCTATTATTAATTATTGTTATGCATATAATAAGGACCTTTTATGCAATTTGTAATTTGTATATGAGGGTCTGTTTCTAATAATTTTAAATTACATAAACCATTTATGTAATTATGTATAATAAGGACCTTTGACGTTAATTTTTACTTTTTTATTATTTTTTTCAATTATATCATTTTGTTTTTCCTTTTTTTTCGTTCTTTTGATGTGTGCTGATTTTTAAGTTGTATCTCTTGAATATTTTCTGGTATTTTTTAATTCATAGAGACCACATATATAATTTCATATATTAACCTTTTGTGAAAACTTTTTTTGAATGCATCTGTTAAATCAGTAATTAAAATGAAAGTTTGGTGCTATAACAGACACACACTTCAAAGTAAATTGCTATATTTTACATTTAGTGGCGAAAATCTAACATATATCATTGTTTTTTTATTCATTTCTCAAATTAGCATGTTAGTTGACCTTTATCTTTCAGAAACATTTTCCGTATTTAAAATTGTTTACTTTTATTGCAATGTACTTTCGAATTGATTATTTTAGGGAAATTTACTGTAAAGAAAACGGTATAAAAATTATTGAAAATATATTGCCATATTTGTATGTGAGAGACATTTTCTATTTTAAATAATATAATGGTATTACCATGTATGATTGGCTTTATTTTTTTCCACTCTATTAAATTTTGTATTTTATTATACCCCATGATCATGATGATTTTATCATTAATCACGAGTTAAAGAACATTACTGATATTTTGAAACATTTAACATATTAATTATACATAACGATGATATACTTACAAACAAAATATTTAATATTATATAAAAATAACTATTTGCAAATTTATGATTTGTCATTATGAATTTTATAGTCTTTATATTATTTTTTTCATTAATCACGAGTTAAAGAACATTAATGATTTTATAGTCTTTAATTTGAATTATATATTATTCAAATTTATATTACATCGTAAAAAATCGTGATTTTATCAAATATCTACACATACAAAATGTAGATCGGATATATATATATATATATATATATATAATATATATATATATATAGAGAGAGAGAGAGAGAGAGAGAGCTAGGTTCATTTGTTTAAAGTAAGTATTGTGTTATTGTGTACATAAATGTGGGCCAATTAAAATTAAATAATTAAATAAATAAATAAGGGTAATTTAGTAATTTGTTTAGTAACTTCCAAAATTAATCCCTATAATCATGGTATTGACCTAATCTCTCCAATTTAAATCTCGTTCCCGATCTGCAAAATTAGAATGGACTACAAAATCCATATTGAGTTCCCTCCCCTGCTTGTTTTGCTACCAGACCAGTCAAGAGGGGCAGCAGGAAACAACCCATCGCCACCACTGCCTTTGCCTTCTCCTTCTTAAAAAAATTCCAGGCACTATAGGTGCTTTTCCGATCCTTCCCGTCGTTGTTTCCATTATTCTTCATCCTTTCCGTTGACTAAATCAGCCAAATGCCCCCTGAATCATCAACCACCGCTGCTGTGATTCCCGATCGGTGGTTGTCGATGACAAAATCATGAGGCCTAGGAAGAATCGACGGCCTTGACGACCCCTTCTCCCTCTTCTCCACGATGGAATTCCCTCATAGAGCCATCCGATTCGCCTCTGAATTCCTCTTCCCTCCGCTCGACAGATGAGCCATTGGAGGAGTTTGTCTACTTCATTCGTGTTTCTTTTGTTCATCTGTTCCTCTTCCCTGATCAAACCCAAGGTTCGATTTCATTTATTTCTTTTAGTCGTTTAATTCTTTTCTGCTATTTTGGTTTTTGTTTTAGCACCTTCGATTAGATCCGCTTAGAATTGTTAGTATCAGACACATTTCTGGCATTTGCTTTTGCTATCAAAAGGTGTATTGCTAATTCCAATGTAATGCTCTGTGTTACTAATTTAGTCAATTTACTTGGAAGATCTCTTCTTTAATCTTAGATTTTGGTTGGTAATTATGTTAGGCATTTGCTTTGTGACTCTTTGTGACTCTTTAGGGCGCCCCTAGTGAATTGCTTCAACCCTAACTCTCCCCCTTTCAACAGATTGTGTTTTGCTTTTTGGATTTAATATATCTGCTATAAAATTCTTTTTTTATTTGTTTCATTTGCAGGTTTCAAAGAATTGAGAGGGACGAGGAAGAGTTTTGTTTCAATTTTAGGTTGGTTTAGTGAATTGAAAGACAATGTTATGTTTCATTGAAATTTGATTGTTTATTTTGTTTAATTTTGTTAATGATATTTGTTGCTTTTGCTTATTTTAGGGCTTGATTCACTACCCAACTGATCAGTTTGATTTTCCAATGGGGTTGTACAAGACTATAAGTTCCAATTCTGTTGGAATCACACATTCCAATTCTGTTTGGAATCACAAATTTTTCCTCGTGATATGCTGGAATCACAAATTCCAATTCTGCTGGAATCACAAATTCCAAATAGTTATCAATTCTGCTGGAATGGAATGACGAATTCCAATTCTGTTGGAATCACAGAAGTTGATGCTTGAAGAACGGACCACAAAATTGAAAGTGATTCTAATCAACATTGTTCTTTTAGAATGTATTAGTGCCGTTGTTACATTTTGATGTTTTCTTACGCGTTTTGAAAGTTTTTGTAGTTTTATTCTTTAACAATAAATGTAATTCTTAATAATTGTTACTCGTATTCTATAAGAAATAATGTATTTTTTGTTTTTATTATTCAATTGATTGTTCAAGAATTTGTTATTCTACAAGAAGTTCGTTAAATCAAAATATATATTATGTTAGAATGTGTAATTCTTGTATGGTTCAACCATATTTGTTATTTTTCAATATATTGATAAACATATTCCGTCAGAATTTTCGAATTAGGAGAATTATCATCCATACAATCCTATTTTTTAAAATTAATAGACTATTTTTCCTTAAATATGTAATTTTCCTTTTTTAAATTTATGTTAATTGACTAAAATACCCTTAGAATGAAATTAGCTGGTATTTTTTAATTATATTTAATTTAATAATATGTATTATTCACTTTCCAAAATTAAGTAAAATGATTGGTCCACAATTATGCATATAATAACACAATACTTAGTTTGAATAGAATAACCTAAGCCTATATATATATATATATAGTAATGACTAATCATTGATTTGTTAAAAAATAACTATTAATTTACAATGATAGAAGTTTTTCTTGTAAGTTTGTAATAACTAGTTAACATATATATATATATATATATATATATATATATATATATATATATATATATATATATATGTTAACTAGTTATTACAAACTTACAAGAAAAAACTTCTATCATTGTAAATTAATAGTTATTTTTTAACAAATCAATGATTAGTCATTACGACTCCGAATTATCAAATACTGGTTTGTTTTTTCAACCATAGTTTTCATGGGTTTAAACATAATAATTTTATATAAGAAGCCAAATACCCATCATTTAGTATTTGATTATTATTAAAGGAATAAATTGTTCATTTTTGACCCGTTGTGACTTGTGAGTCGGATACCTATCAAATGAAAAACGAATCACCCAGCAAGTATCAGGTGCCTCCCCCAATATCTCTGTATTCCTTGTTCTCTAACACTATTTAATTCTGTTACTTATTCTTTCATTACTTCACCAGGTTAAATAGGAAATTTATTGGTCGTTTTGGGTTTTATCAATAGGCAAACAATCGTCTTTTTTATTTATAAATTGTTCGTCGACTTTCATGACTAAAATTTACAAATTCAAACGCTGAAACCTCGTGTTCTACAACTACGTTTTGAGTGTAAATTCCCTTCACCTTCATCGTATTAATAGTTTCTTCAATTTGGCACTCTCTCCGTAATTTACCCTTTACTTTTTCAGTTGTTGACTCCGGTATACGTTATGTATACATGTTTACTATTGTTTCAGGAATCATTATTCATTATTCTGGGTTTTATTTTTGAGGGATGTTTCCTTTTAATTCGTTAAAGGATTTCTGGAATCTAAAACCAAGGGATGATGGTGGAGCGGCGTTACGGAGTCATAGGAATAATTTTGTTGTTGCAGAGGACGATTATCGACGGTCTCCCACCAATCAGGTCAATAATATTGTTTCACACCATCTCTTTCACAACTTTGAATTCACGACAAGTTTTATCAAATTAAATTGTAGATAGTAACATTTGAATCTTCAATCAAAGTTTTTATGATGTAACTCGAATATCACAGATTATAATACTATTACGAAGATAAATTACACAAAACAAATTCATTTATTGTTTACTGTCTTAAACTATTAAAACAATTAAGGCTGGACTATTAACAAATAAACATAATTCTGTCAATTATCTAATATGACTTTATAAGATTTAAACATAATCTTGTCAATTATCTAGTATTACTTTATAAGATTTGAGTAGGTGAAGAGTAATACAGAATACACTGTACACATTAGTATACTCTAGACTATAAATCCGTTATCCGTCCAAAAGTACTGATTTTAAAATTGAAATTATGCTACTAATTGAATAATAATATTGATAATAACAGTAAATCGCTATAAGCTTTACAAATGCAAAGAAGTAATAAAAAAATGTCTAAAAAATAATTGGGTAAATTATACGAATGGTCCCTGTGATTTGGAGCAATCTGCATGTTTGGTTCCTAATATTTTTTTTTAACTTGGAAGGTCCATCAATTGTATTTTTGTTACGCGTTTCGTCTCTACCAAACACAAAATGACTATTTTACCCTTAATAATTTTTTTTTTGTTGATTTTTGATTATTTATTTATCATTTTTAATTAAAAAAAAAAACAAAAGACCCCCCCCCCCCCAATCCCCATTTACATTCTCACATTCCCAAAACTCATCTCTTCTCCGATAACCGTTGGTACTTTCTGGCGAGCAACCCACCCCGCCAACGACCATGTAAGGCTTCTTCCTCTATCCATCTCTTCTCTCTTCTCCGTTCGATTTAGAGAAAGGGGTGGTAACTCGCGATTGTGGTGGCTACAAGATGCAAACGAGAAGAAGGAATAAAAGAAAAGGGTAGATCGATCAACACCTACTCAATCCCCTGCATCACTGCTACTCAACACAGCATCACTGCTACTCAACACAGCACCGTGGCGAGAGAAATTCTGCAACACTGGACAAAAACGTCGTTCATTTACCAACAACAATACATCAACACTGGAGCACAACAACCTTTACAAAAAATCATGAATTGGAGCAGGACCACCGCCGATGATGTGAATTGGAGCCACCATACCACCATCCCTGCATTCCCCTAATTATTTAAACACTGTTCAGAAATCGTTGTGATCCAGAAACCGTTGTCAATTTCAGAAACCCCGGTTCGATTTCTTCGCAGAAGATCAACATAGGACGACTGGATTTTGATTCGATTTCTTCACCTGATGTTTCTGAAGTTTAATTTGAGGTTATCAGAAGTAAATCTTCACCTGATGTTTCTAGATTTCTAATCACGAATTCATTTAGGTATAAACATGTGGATTTGATTTTCAGTAGAGGATTCACATGTGGGTTTAGAATCTGGGTTTATTTTTATTTATTTATTTTTTTACGTTTCTTAAGGTTTTGAATATGAGGTTTGATTTCAGATGTGTTTTTGATGTTTGATTGCAAATGTGGTTTTGATTTCATCTTTGAGGTTTGAGGTTTGATTTCAGATTTTTCATATATGCATTTTGGTTTTAGGTTTAAGTCTAATTTCAGCTTTGAATGTGATTTGGAGGCGGTGACTGGTGGTGGTTGACGGCGGTGATTCATGGTGGTTGTTGAACAGTTATGATTTTGGTGTGGTGGTTGGATCTTTGAACACATAACATGTGGGTAGGATGTTAGGTTTAATTAGTGGTGGCGATTGTTTTTTTTTTTTTAATTTAAAAACAATAAATAAATATGAGAAAATCAAAAATATATATTAAGGGAAAAATAGTCTTTTTATGTCTGATAGAGACTACAAACGCAACAAAATAATGTTTGAGTGACCTTCCGAGTTAAAAAAAAAGTCTTAGGGACTAAACGTACAGATTACCCTAAACCACATGTACCATTCTTGTAATTTACCCAAAATAATTTATCAAATATATTTGATTATTATATTTTGGATCTCGGATAATCTGAATATCCAAATTTTTAAAGAATGTTATCCGTATCTTAATCCAAAAAATTGGATGTCCGAAGTTTCGGATATTTGTTATTTCGGATTTTCGGATCAGGTACGCGGATTCGGATGTTTTTACCCCTACTTAAATCTATGATGTCTTTAGTTTATTAATACGTTTTGACAAAAAGCATTTCAGCTTAGCAATATCCATGTGTGTCCCTCCTTAAATTGTTATGGTTTAAGTCTCGTAGTATACAAAATGTCATTACATAATAAAAGTCTACAAAAATAGAATTTGTTTTTATAAATATAAGAAAGATTGATTTTGGAGTTGGGATATATTAAAAGGTAGGTATCGAATGCGTAGGAGTTCCAAAATGTCAAGAACATGAACCGGTCCCATTGGTTTCGGGTTAAGAATTGTTGATTTTGCGTTGTGTTTGGTTCCAAAAGTAGCTAGCTGATTTCAATGCTCATCCCTAATGACATGGTGTCCACTAATTTGTTATTTGAGTCACTTATATTTTAATTGCATGCAGTGTTATTTGAGTCACTTATATTTTAATTGCACGCAGTAGAACAGCAAAATATTTTTCGCATATTTATTAAGTCATTGTAATCAATTTCAACCGGTTATATTTGTCACATTTACATCTCCCCAGCTATCTAATTTTCCCGTACATCTACAAATACTTAATGTGTACTCCATATTATTTAATAGTTTTTAGTCAACATGTTTAGTATGTTTGTCCGTGCATAGTTGTCACTAGTGTTCATAGTGGGATCTATCGCGTTAGGTGTAGCGTTGGACCACTATATATATATATATATATATATATATATATATATATATATATATATATATATATATATATATATTAACTTATAATGCTATAAAGTATAAGGGTTGAATTTTAAACTTTTAAAATTCTACGGTTTGAAATTAAAGTATTAATGTGTGACTTTACAAATTCCAAAACTTGAGGGCAAGTTTTGAAACTCTTCAAAACTTTTCAACTTCATAACATATGAGTGTAATGGTCTTTTAAAATGAGACTCTTCATTTTTCTATAACCTATGGCTTTTAATGTTTCATTTAAATGGAAAACTTTTGGAATTCCATAACTTGAGGACAAGTTATGGAGTCCATTAAAATCATCAAGATCATCAATTAAACTAACAAGCATGTTCAAGTTCTTGATTAAGCTCATATGAACAAGATAATTCAAATCAAACAAATTTCATGTAATTAGACTAATCATATAAACTAATACAAAACATGAAATTTTGACAATTATCTTTTCAATTGGATAAGCATGATCATTACCACATCAAAAACAAGTTTATAAGTTCAAAAACAGTTTAGGGTAATGATCCTAGCCCAATTCCAGTTTTAAAACTCAAAATTCTGCTCACAAGAGCATCACCACGTCGTGGTAAAAGCTGCCACGTCGTGGTAAGCAGTCAGATGCAAAAATGGCAGAATTTCAACTTTGGAAAAACAAGTAGCATCAAGTATAATGGAAAGCAAGCCTAGGCTTGATACCAATATTGGGTTTTGAGCATTCAAACACTCCTAAGGTGTACATGCAACCCTAATACCTTGGGTCTATGTTTTCTCTATTATACATGCAAACTTTATTTTCCAAGGTATTATCCTAACTAGCATACAAAAACTTTGATACTTGGGTAATAAAACAAGTCAGATAACATACCTTTTGTTGTAGCTTGTTGCTTGGAGATTCAAGAGCCTAGCACCAATAATGTGAATGCCTCAAGTGGAATCAAAAATCACCACTAACACTTGGAAACTTGGAAGAGGACTCTCTAGCTTACAAAATCGGCCACACTCTTGCAAAAACTCTAGGCGCCAATTTCTTGAACCAAAGGGCTTCTTATATAGTGTGGTTACATTAGGGTTACACCATGTAAACCCTAATGTGCATGACTTTCCACATTCCTCATGATCCATGGGTTTTAACCTCCATGGAGAATCCATGGGTCACCACATGGGTTTAGACCAACATAAGGAATTATGGATCATTAGCCCACTTTATAAGAATGAATGATTTACACAATCAATCCGTATATATTTAATTAGTCCCTATTGATCACAAAATTAAGTCCAAATTAATTCTTGATCAATACTAATTAAATAATATGGTTTCATATTAATATATTAGAACTTATAATATATTGATAAATCATAATTATCCTCTTCTCAAAATCCAATTTGTTCCGGTGAAGTGCAACCCAAATGGACCATGCTAAATCGGGTCAAGTACATACCAAATATAGTTATGGACTTAGACACCTTATCCAATAGTATATTAGGTCTAGGAATACAAAGATACAACCTTGATCAAAACATCACTCTTGACTACGATCCATAAAGTGGTTTTGATGCAGGTCAAGTCCAATACTTGTTCTCTTAATCAAGTATCTATGAAGTTTGTAGTAGTTCTTGCCAATCCACTCATATTAGTCTTAGCTCAAAGATGCTCCGACAACTATGAAGGACTATGGAAATTTAGAATAACCTACTTATTCAGGGATTTAAACATGCTAATATAGAACACAACAATTATTCAATGAATGACTCATATCCAATATCTCAACACATTACAATATATGTTGTCTTTATTGTTCCAATATCCAAATACTAAATTTCAATCAAATACATCTACTTATATCGACAAGGCCCTATAGCACCAGGTTGACTTTCATGCTTTAGCTAATGATGGAGCTTTGTCAAGTAGATTTGACAAACTTGATTTGTGTAAACTTTGCGAATACAATCATTTTTCAGTTTTATATATAACTCATATATAAAGAAAAATTATTGAGAATGAATTAGATGCTTGAATATGACTTAGATACCAATACTTGCGTAATGGGATTACTCATAGTCATAATGACCTATACATTGAGCATCTTTGTGCGTGGTTCTCAAAACCACGAGGTA